ATGTGTATGCAAAAATGCATTAGATTCTTACATCCTATACTAAAATTAACCCAAAACTAGATGTAAACATAAATATAGAAGTAAATATTATAAAATATCTAGAAGTTAAATATTTTGAGATTCCACCCAAATATGATCCCAGAACACAAATAAATATGACAAACTCAACTAATGATTCCTTGTGGCTGGGGATGAGATTGAGAATTGACTGATAATGATTTAAGAGGGATATGTGGAGAAAATAAAAATCAAGCAAGACTGTGGTGTTTGTTGAATGACAATATCATTTTTACTAAAAATCTTTGAGAAGGTAGTAGGTTACATACTTACAATCCTAAAGGAGGAAAGGTAAAAATCAGGAATAGTTAAACAATTAGAAATCAAAAAGCAACCATAAGACATTTTAAAATATGTGGTACTATGCCAATACCCATGAAATTTACTTATATTTAATAGGTTCTGTTATTGTTTAGATCAAGAATGTTCCCCAAGGCTTCATGAGCCTATGAGCAGGGTTTCTGGAAGGTGATTGAATCACTGGGGCCATGTAGCTGAGTTCTTAGGAAGTAGGGTCTGGTCTGAAGAGGTAGGTTACTAGGGGTATGACCCCCAAGGGTACACAGTGTCTTCCTTTTGCTCTCTTTACCTCTATCTCTCTGCTTCTTACCATACGAGCAGTTTTCTCCACCTATGCCCTTCAACCATACCATTTCTACATAAAGTCTGCCAAATATGGAGCTCATCTTTAATGCTCCTTATGAACTCATTAAAGTGATTCTATGACCTTCATATGTGTGCCAACTGATATCTGAGAAACAGAATCAAGGAGGTGAAAATTATCATTCAAGGATATAAAATTCAAAACAAAGAGAAACAAAAATTCAACAGCAACAAAAACCTGGCTAGTAAAAGCAATATCTGGTCTTATTAAATCTTCTAAACATGAATTTTAAAACTACATTACGTTATTCCACCACAATCACCAAAGCCCCCACTAAAACAAAACCAGCGTCCAAGAAAATATTTTAAGATTCTTGAAAATCTAGTTATTGTAAATTGTGCTAAGTGAATTTAACTGAAAAATTTTCACACAACTCAACAACAACAAAAAATTAGTATTTACTACATTGTTGACAGCACAATAAAAGATAAACCTGTGTTGAAACTCAAGGAAAATTTAGATACTAGATTACCAAAATGAAAATTTTATAAAATGGTTTTATCTATAAAAACTTGTCAATATGTTCTTTCTTA